GCTCTGTCTATTAACTACTACCTCCCACATTCACAGCCACATTTGGCTAATTCTTGTACAAATGTGTGTTTCCTATTTTATGGTACGATATGGTCTGTCTGGTTGGTATATAAAACCAGTATGTTTGAAATACATGATTGATATCTCGGAGGCTGAGATTGGTGCTCTGGACTTAACAGGCAGGGCTAGGCAGGGAGAATAACCTATAAATACTTTAAACTGCTCGTACGGGTTTTACGCGTTATTGGTTCGATCGATAATTGGCGGTATACGTATACATTAACAGAGTATACAGGCCACAATTTATAAAAATTTCTTAATCACTGTGCCAATATTTCAGACTATATAAATTCTTTATATGATTATTACCATGAAGTAATTTAAAACAAATTTATATAAAATCTAAATCTACACATAGATATACCTGATTAATTAAATGATCCGCTTGTATTCTAGTTGGACTAACTGATGTTCGTGTTTTTCTATTAAGATTTGATGATCTTGATAAATTTTGTGTATCATTATGATCATTAGAATTTTGTATATTCGATGAATTCAATTTAATATCTTTATCATCATGTTTATCAAATTGATTAGTTTCTATAGTAGATTGAGGATGATCCATTGTGGATAATTGTGAATGTTCATTCATTGTTCCATTATTATTATTATTATTATTACAAATATTTGGTGTACTTTGAGCTTTACTAGTTAAACCAATTGGAAATATACGTTCAGGTTGACCAGTACCAATTGGTTCTGATCGATCAAAATCTGGTAGATCTGATTCTTCTAACCGACTTTGTGCAAAATAATTACGTTCTTGTCGAAATTCTTGTAATTCTTTCTCCATTGATTCACGTAATTCATTTCTTGTCTATTTTTATTTATTATTTGTAAATTAAATAAATAAATAATTTTATAGAAATCAAATTACAACTAGTATAATTACTATAAACGCATTCAATAAAATTGATGAATAAAAGAGTACAGATAGATGGAGTATACATTGTAATCTAAAACCATGTGAATAGACGTTAAACGGTTTATGTATTTAAACACAAACTTTGATATAAATAGACACCAAATATATATGTGCCACATTTCGTCAATCGATTTGTTTGAGGCCCAGAATATTGTCCACGTGGCCGAACCGAAGCAGGTGGTTTACTTAAGTGACATCCTGAGCTTTTGATCTGAAAGTCTAATGCACAATGTAGTGAAGCAACGTCTAGAGATTCAGTCCCATGGTAGCCGGTGACCAACAACAGTTTCATACCCCATTTGTTCCTTCAGGATTCTGGAACTCATGTGCACCATAGATTTGGAATCAGGGTTTTCCAACTACCTTAGGTGGATCCTCTATATCCATTCATTGAAAGCGATACAATATGATAACTGTTTTTATTATTATCGATGGTGTGCAAGTAGATTGTTTATTGTTTGATTATGAAGAGATATTCATAGGAAGCTTAAAAACAATCTTCAGAAGATATTCGACTCAGAAACTTTAACTCCCACGGCAAGTATGGTAATTCTAATTCCTATCGACAGAAAATTTGCGATGATAATGTGAAGCACAACTAATGTTATCGTCGGGTGCTATAGTCCTACTTTGAAAGTGGCTATATTTAAAGGTAACATTTTCTCATTTGTTGTCTAAAAACTCAATCACTAAACAATTCATAACGGTCTTTTACAACACGTAAGGTAATTTACCACTTTTTTTAAAGAATTAAGGAAGGAAAAGTCCATACAATTGTTTGATATATGATACTTTGAATTAATTGATACATTGGTCAAGCTTAAAAAATAATAAATGTGTAATATATAACTGACGTTATAATTTATATACTTTTGACTGGTTAACATATTCCATTAAGTATGAGAACGCTAAACTCTTATCAGACCAATGACTATGGCATAATCAATGACAAAACTTGACTGACAATAAATGATCGCGATTTTTAACGTGAAGTGTTGACTGGTTTAATCATGAAGCTTTTCATCGCCTTTCCCCGACAACAAACCAATCATCCTGATCTACGATTATTCTTCATCATTTCAAATGACTATGAGCAACGACTGAACAGAAATCCTATGTTAACAATAGCAGATTTTTTTGCAAAACATCCAAGTCTGTTCTAGAACAGGTTAGGGTGTTGCATAATCGGATAAGTGAACCGGTGCTTCGTTCAAAACGTCATGTACCACTGTTTACACATCATTAATAAGACCAAATTCCTAAACCAGCCCCTCACAATTTTCAAAAAAATGGAATACCGATATAAGAAACCACAAAGCACATTGTCGAGAGAATTTAAAATGGGACAATCAGTCATGGTGATGGACTTCCAATGTCCGAAGCTGACATAGGTATCCGTAATCACTTCAAGCAGGATGTTATCTACGCAGTAAAATTCGAGAATATAAGATGAATACAATATGCTTACTAACTATAACCTACTAGACGGGATAAGATTACAGAAGGCGATAACAACCCTGTTATTATGCCCCTCAATAGATTAACCGATTCGAATATGGAAATTAAAATGAACCTGTGATTCTCGTCAAGATTATATCACCGATTTCGAAGTAGGTCAAATCAAAACAAAATAGACTCTTGTGACTGATACTATAATTATTGCTCAAAAAAAGAAAGGCAATGAAACGGAGCAGATATTAAGTAATATGAAGCTTACAGAACTATTCTATGTTGAATTAACTGACCGACTTTTAACATGTAATTCATGAGTTACATTTTCATACTGGTTTATTATTTATAAGCTTTGATTTAATGTATAAATCGTTTATATACGTTTTACCGTCCCTGAATTATTATTGCTGAATTACGGATCTATTCAAGTAAGTGAAAATATCAATTCTAGTCTTTGAGCTTTTGGTAATTAAAAGTGATTAGCAAAAAACTCTGGAGCTCTTGGTTTTCTACTGCTTTGGATTAGTCAGAAAGGTATTATCTGTTTGCCATTAGATGTGGCTCCTGAAACGAATGGTGGGTCATTTCTCATATTATTTATTTATTTATTTTAACACATAGACATTGGTACAAGGAGGCACCAAATACATATGCACCACACAAATCTTATTCGATATGTGTGAGGGCTGTGATACTGCCCGGGTGCCCAAACCGAACCAGGTGGTTTTCTTAGGGGGCCACACCCCGAACCTTCGACCTGAAGGTCTGATCCACAAGGCAGTGGAGCAGCGTAAGGAGATGCAGTCCCATGGAAGCCGGTGACCAACAATTGGTTCATACGCCATTTGTTCCCGCAGGATACTGGAGCCCATGTGCACCATTGGTTTGGAATCCGGTTAAAGCGCCAGACATTCGCTTTTCGTCCTCTCATTTTCGTAAACAACACCCCCGCCACGAGAAGGCAGTGAGTAGGACTTCCCTGGCAGGGGCTATATACTCGTGGCCATGTGAGAGTATTTCGAGAGGGAGAGCGGACTCTCCCCACTCTCGGCCGTACCAGGGCATTTGGGGGCTTTCTCATATTACGTCACTGGTTGAAACTTGCTACAATTTACGCACAGTATCAGTTACCTAAAAAGTATTAATTAGCTCTGCTAATAACTGTCAGTCAGAGCAAAATTAACAACAATTGGTTCTTCACAAATGCCTCTGTCCGTCTGTCATCAAATAAGTAGCACTACTGAAATCAAGAAACCATATAACTTAGATAACGATTAAAAACCTCCAAGTAATGGGACGGCTGGTTCATATTAATATAGGATTCTTCAGCAATGCGTACCCACGATCCTACAACACAGAACTTTCAGTATAGTGCCGCTAAACTACTAAGACGGGATCCAGTGTTGTCCAAGTCTAACTTTAATCAATTCGCAATATTGCCCGTTAGACTTAAACACCATTGGATACTTAGATCAATGGTCTAAAGGTCAAGCGTTCAGGCACAAGACGGAATATCACGGATCCGATTTCCGGTTGCGGAATCATGGTTGTACAATACTGAGGAGTCCCATGCTAAGATAAAACAGCTGTACAGAGATTTCAGGTTTTCAATGGTTGTTCAAGTTAGATGGGTCCATGATTTCAATAAAATTTAACAGTTTCCATAACCCCCTCCCTATTGACAAATCGTACTATGATGTCTTCCGGTAATATTGGCCAAAACACAGCTTAGTTTATATAATTTAGCTCACTCAAACAAAATATGAACAGAATATAAGAATAGAAGGTATATTGGAAACTCGTTCTTCACCATAGTGATAAAAACTTACTCGTATAGTCCAAATCAAATCAGCTTTAGCATGATCCTGCTGAAATTGATAGAAAAATAAACGCCAATTAGTTGTCGGTTTACAATTAACCGAATCACCACGTAATGATTGAAGTAGATGACGAGGTCGACGAAGTACAACAGGACGTTCTTCAGCTTCTTTTATATGATTTTGTTTCCCAATCTATCAGAAAATAAATCGATCATGTTCAATTGAAGTAAACAAGACTAAATTAATTAAAACGACAAGTGTTTTTTAAAGTGTATTACAAGAAGTGAATAAACTTGCAGCAGATTGTTGTTACAAATTTTAGATACATATTGTCGTAATTGGTTACATAATCAATAAATCTTCACAAAAACAAAATAATCAATATGACCAGGTATTGACGAAAATGGTAATGATCAACAGATAACATTGGATAAAGTACGTCGACAACAAATACCATTGTTAATCATCCAGATTCTTATTGACTTAATAAGGACCTAAGAGATGTGATTGTTAATAATTAATTGGTTATCAAGAATGGAACTTGTGATACACATAATTTAAAATATTTAAGTAGTGGCTAACGGTAGAATCTCGGATGAATAGTTTGTCCAATGCGGAGATCAGTAATTGTACGTGTCTTTACCTTTGTTTTGATGTCAATATTGAGACTCAAACTCAGTATTCACAGCTTTAAATAGTAACACAGAAAAAGAGATTAAACATCCAAGATGGAAAGACTATAATCTATGGGGGGAACTAATCAGATTTAGAATAACAGGTCTTGGATATTGACGTGAAATTCATCCACTAATTTGACTAAATAGCGTTTTGACATGTTAGCTGATGTCAGTTCGTGATGAAAACCCTAAATCTAATTCCTAATCCAAACCCCATCAACTGTAAACCATTGGTTTATAACCCTCATTTAGCCCCAGTAAGTAGGCGGGCATTTTCAAGGTCACTTTAGTGTCGTCCATAAATTATAGTCTCACCGTAACCATACATGGTGTGACTATAAACAATATCATCTAGCATTTAGACATCGCTGGAGACATAATTCATGTAAATTTAATAACTTACTACTTTGGGAATAGGAAGACCAACACGTAGACGCCAATGTGTTAACAAATCATCAATTTTTGATTCTAATTGATATGAAATAGTTTGTTTACGTTCTTCTATACGCATCATATGTTCC